CTGGCTAATTTTTTTTATATATTTTTAGTTGTCCGATTAATTTCTTTCTATTTTTTTAGTAGAGACGGGGTCTCTCTTGCTCAGGCTGGTTTCGAACTCCTGAGCTTAAACAATCCGCCTGCCTCGCCTCCCAGAGTGCTAGGATTATAGGCGTGAGCCACCACGCCCGGCCCTAACTCATTTCATTTTGAAATTTCTATGGTATGAATCACATCAGTAATCTTTATCTCTCATCCCTAAGTAATTTATGCTCCAAAAATTCTGTAACATTTGCACTCCCCTCCTCCTCAAAAATGATAGTTCTCTCAACTCATTCATCCAACACACAGAAATAGACATGGATACACAGATACATCTTTCCTGTCTGGTATTATTTTTCAGTATTTGGTTGAGATACTCTTTTCTGTGAGGCTGACTGATAAATCAAATAAAACATTTAGCAACGATTGCATTTAGCAGCATGGAAGTGATTAGTGATCTTGACAAGGACAGTACGGTAGCATATGTAGGGCAAATGTCTGATTGAATTAAGAGGGAATGGAACACAAGCATTGGAACAGTGGGTACAGAAACTCTTGAGTTTTGCTGCAAAGTGGTGTAGTGAACGGAAGTGGGGAGTAGTGGTGGGGCAAACAGAGGCCACAGGCTTCTTTTCAGTAGGAATATACAAAACATGTTTATTTGCTGATGGAAATGAAGGGAAAAAAGGAATAGTTAATGATATTAAAAAGGCAATAATCACTGGAAGGATGTCTATGTAGGCAGAAGGTGAGATCTTTTGCTCTAATGTAGGGATTGTTTTGAAATAAGAATACAGAGAGTAACAAGTTGTAAGGCAGAGTATATGGGTACAGATGCTGGCAAATATGTAGTTGTGTTAGTAGGAGTCTGTGGCAGATATTTCTGATTGATTTAATTTTTTCAATGTAATGAGAAGCAAGACCATTAGCTGAGAGTGAAGAAGGGGCAGAGGTATTGGAGGTCTCAGCAGGGAATAGAAAGTATACAATAATCATTTAGAAGAGTAGAGGATGATCGGACCATTGGACTGTGGAAGTTAAGTAAGATGCCAGCCATCATTTTGGGCTCATTTGAGGTGTGATCATGAGTAATGTGATACCAGTCATGGGTTCTATGCTTTTCTCCAGCTCTCTTCCACAAGAGAAGGCAAGGGAATTGAAGACATGTGTAAGGCAGTGATTATAATTGACAATGACATTGAGGCTGGTAAAGAGTGGAAATTAAGTGGTAAGGGACCAAATAAAAGAAAACAAAAATAAAACAGGTGGTAAAATTAATGGATTGGAGATCCCAGTGGACTTAAAGAATTGTTTGTTCAGGGTTCTGGAGTAAGTGAACAGGAGATAGGAAAAAGTGGTCAAGAAACGAACTTTCTAAATAAAATATTTTTTAAAAAGCAAAAACAAAAAAACAAAACAATAACAACAAAAAGAAAAAAGTGGCCAGAGAGAGTTGCATGAAATTGAGATTATGAATGATACGCAGTTATTGGTAATAGTGATGTCTAAGTTATGACTGTGAGGGAGTGGCTGAGATAGGTGGGAGAACTCTAATAGATTATTTAAGGAGAGGTCAGAGTAATTTAAGGATTATCTCTCAGGAGATTAAAATCAGCACAAATTAAGATGGCAGCATTGAATAAAGAGCTAAACCATCCAGAATGAGAGTAAGTGACCCTAAGGTTAGTAGAAGATTCCTACAACAATGAGAGCTAGTGGATGTCATTGGTAACATGGGATTTAAAGGTGGGGGCTTTTATAAGGAGGCGAGGAGAGTAGTCTAAAGTGGGGCAGTGAGGGGCAAGGAGAACACCTCCCACACCTGAAGGCCTGGTCACCTGAGAGTGGTGGGAAACAAAAAGACTGCCACCATTTGAGGTGGCTGCAGGGGAACAGAAGCAATATTCTTAGGAGAGAGCCAGTTTTAGTTAGAGCAAGAAGGTGAAAGAAATATTCAAGGCAAAGCGGAAGATTTAAGGAATTTTTCTGATAGACTAAGGAATTTTATTCAGAAGCTAAACTAGAAATACTTTTTAAATATATCCTCTTATAGAAGAGAATGAGACTAGCATTTTAATTGAATAAATTTGAGTGTAAAATAGTCACTATTTTTATATTGATAAAATCTAATGTTTCCCTTTTAAGTATGTCAAAAATAAAATGGTATTTCAATAGTGCTTTATGATTTAATAAAAATAATTTCAAACACTAAATTTTCATGTTCTTTCCATTGTTTTAATTAAATTGATATCAATATACTACTAAGTTGGCCGGGTGCGGTGGCTCATGCCTGTAATCCTAGCACTCTGGGAGGCTGAGGCGGGCGGATTGTTTGATCTCAGGAGTTCGAGACCAGCCTGAGCAAGAGC